GAGAGAGAGAGAGAGAGAGAGAGAGAGAGAGAGAGAGAGAGAGAGAGAGAGAGAGAGAGAGAGAGAGAGAGAGAGGACCGCCTGCGTGAAGAGGAAGAACGGGTTGTGGAAGGGGAGAAGGGTTGATGGGTGGGTGGAAAAGGCTGAACGGATAGACGATCCGTGCCTGCTTTTTTATCTATCGTATTCAGTTCCTGAATTGCAAATATAGACAGTAGACAGAGTGGACTGGGGGAAAGGGGAATTGTAAGAGAACTGTGACCGGAGTTGAGGAGGATGTGAGCAAAGGGGCATTGACGGCAACGGTGGAAGCACGATATGAGAGAAATCAACAGGATGAACAGGTAGAAGAGAAAGGGAGGAAGGAAGGGAAGGAGTGAGAACGAGAGAGGAGGACAAGAATGTGGAGAAAGGGACTGAAGGGAGGTAAGAGAAGGCGCAAGCTTGAGAAAGTGAAGTTTGGATGTGAGAGAGCGTAGGGGTAGAGGGACTGGACCGAAGGTGTACTCGAAAATGGAGAGATGAGCGCATGGCGAGGGAACAGTAGCGTCGGCAACCGCCAAGCTCGCCTGTCGCGAAGCTATGGATGCTACTGCAATCGGCCCCCTGAACACACTGTCCTCTATATGAATGTGTGCAAGCTCTCTCCGGTTCGAAACAGTCATGACCGTGGTGCTTTTTTTTTTTTTTTTTTTTTTTTTTTTCTCGTTTTTTTTTTTTTTTTTTTTTTTTTTTTTGACCGTGGTGCTTTATCTCCGGTTAGAAACAGTCATGACCTTAAAAAAAAAAAAAAACTGTCATGACCGTGGTGCTTTATGTTCGGGTAAAGGCTTTGTGTTCGAGTAAAGACGGTAGTCCGGGAAGAAACAACCTCGAGATCTGCCCAGCTACCGTGGGCGGATTGGCCTGAACCGTTGTGCCATACATCCAGAAATTTGCGTCACTTTTGTCTGTTAGGGCATATTATTACTACAGTCTTCCCCCGAATACAACGTACGGTGATTATAGCTGAATGTAGACTGAAAGATACACCAAATTCAGCTACAATGACCGTACGTTGTATTCGGGGGAAGACTGTAGTATTGATATTGACAAAATAGGTGTTGCGGTCAGATGCATCAAGGAGAGCCCTGCTGTGGGCATGCACTCACTTTCAATTCTTCTTCCCAGAAGAAGCTTCTCATCCCTCGGCGTCTTCTCCCTTGCCCCCGCATCGTCGCAGAAGATGCTGAAGGTGCGATTCGAAGTGGCCGAATGCCGCCGCCGCTCCTGTCTGGCCTTCTGTTTTTGAAAATGTATTTACAGCATGTAGTCACAAAGCTCATGCGCGAGGTATTCATTTCACTGTTTCACTGCGTCAGATTGCACTGTAGATCTTTAAGGTATCACCATTATCAGGGCTTCTTCCCCGAGTTGACGTTGCGCTCTCTCCTTGTGTCCTGTGGTGGCGCGTAGATGCAGTCCAGGTCAAGTCAGGGCAGCAAAGAGTTGGAATCCCTTTTCCTGTTCGTTCTCTCTGCCCTGGTCATTGCGACGGACAGACGGAAGATGATGGACAATGCAGTTCAGTGTGTCAATCTCGTCCAAAGAGGGGGTGAGGGAGCGAGGGTGTCCTTCTTCCTTTCCCGCTCTGTGCCATGGGCTCTTTTGCCATTCCCCGCTGCTGACCGGTAAACGTGATACGAGGCTGATCCCTGCGCTAATCGCAGTCCTTTTGCGACTCTCTTAGTCGTTCTCGTGCGGTGCTCTCGAAGTACGCAACAGGGAGAAAAGAACCTGCCACAGGCATGAATCAGGAGTGCCAGATCCGGGTCTCTCTCTCTCTCTCTCTGTATCCTCTCCTTCTTCCGCTCAATTTCTCTCTCTCTCTCTGTGTTATCCTCTCCTTCTTCCGCTCAATTTCTCTCTCTCTCTCTCTCTCTCTGTGTTATCCTCTCCTTCTTCCGCTCAATNATCCTCTCCTTCTTCCGCTCAATTTCTCTCTCTCTCTCTCTCTCTCTGTGTTATCCTCTCCTTCTTCCGCTCAATTTCTCTCTCTCTCTCTCTCTGTGTCACGGCTGTTCATCTTTGCCGGCTGATGTTCCCCCAAACCCGATGTCATCTATATCCCATCCATATATATATGATAAGGGATAGAGACGTGGTGCGTCTTGGTTGTGGAGTGCATTATCTGTGTCAGCACCATTATCAATCCACTGCGACTGCCGCCGTATGTGCGGAAGGGTGTCTAACATTTCCTCATTGTGCACATCCCTATCACCCAGATGTACGTTGTCCTTTCTGTTCCCAAGGATGCTATCAGAACTGCATGATGCCGCACTGTGACGAACGTCCTGCTGTTTTCTTGACATGTGGGCAACATGTCCTATGTCGGGTTGTTTCGATGGGATGGTTCGTGCTAGCCGTCCGGCTGAATGCTGCACTAACGCAACTCTCCTTGGGTATCCCTGTGAACATCCCCGTCATCCTCACCGTAGTTGTCCTATCTGCCGAGGGGGTGACAGATGAAGTGTAGAAGAAACAGATAAAAAAAGAAACCGAGGAAAGAAAAACGCAAAAAAAGAAACCTGAGAATAAAGAAAAAAGAAAAAAGAAAAAAGAAAAAAGAAAAATATGTTCTGTGGGATGGTAATTGGATTATCTGTGGGATGTGTACTTGCTTCGTCTGTTTAATAGGCTTTCTTCTTCTGTGAGGTTTGGTTTCCTCTGCCTTTTCTTTACCTCTTTGCCTTTTGGCTGCGTGCAAGTGGGTCCTTGTGACACACGGGGATGGGGGCAGCCAGCGCTCAACCTGTCATCCACGTGGCTGGCCTTGTACGTAAGAGGTTATGAGCAGGTGGAGCTTTCCTTACCTCTTCTTCTCCCCCTTTTTTCTTTTCTCTTCTTTTCTTCTTCCTTTTTTTCGCTTCTGTGCTCTGATTCACAGTGTGACAATATATATGATAAGGATCAAACATACCGTAAGTGGTAATGTCCGGGCAAACCACTCAATTGCCTGGGGACTTGGTGCCAGAGGGTAGCCAGCACGAAGCACTAGGGCCTAGACTCCTGTCACTGCATCACATAGCTCCCCCAACCCTAACTCAGTTGTCTTCCTTGGTGCTGGCCGAACGGGGCTACCATGCCACCTAGAACGGAGCAGGACGGAAAAAGAATAAGAATAATGAGGAAAAAAGGGAGAGCAAGAGCGTTGGCTGTCTGACGTGGTAGTATGAACTCACGTCCTTTGCTGTGAAACGATCAGAAGGTGGGGGAGAAATGAAGGGCACCTAACTCTGGCCCTGGCTTTCGTCCGCCGAGGGATGCTGCCGCATAAGGGGTCCAATCAACGATCCCTGCTACAGTCCCCGATCGCTGCATGTATTCATGTATCGTCTGTGGCATTATTGTAGTGTGATGCGCGTATGATCGGCTGCTACACTCCCTGATTTCTGATTTTAATGAATGGTCCTGCCCAGGACCTTTGATCGAGAAATAGGGAAACATTCTGTGACGCATGGTTCGTTGTGTTTGTTGCTCTGGCTATTGATCCTATTGATGCTATTGATGCATAGCCTCGGTCATGGCCGTGGATTGGTTTATCGTTCTGTTTTCTTTGCCCTGTCCTAGCCATCGCCACGGATGGAGAAGTCTTGACTTGTGTGATTGATCCCTTAACGAACGGACGGTTGGTTGTGCCCATGGATTGTCCTGTCCATCACCCATTTTTGGCAGTTAATGGCACTCTAGTGGTTTATAGTTCTCCTGGGAGTGATTCTGTCTTGTCCTGTCATGGTATGTTATTGGCAGCTGCTGGGAAGTCCAACGAGGCATAGATGGCGGCGGGAGATGCAACGGAGTCGGCACAGCCGGCAGCAGAGACTGCGAGAGTGGATGTTTTTGAGGATGACGACGAATTTGAGGAATTCGAGAATGAAGGTAGGTGTGTTTTTTTGTGTTCTCACCCCCCTCCCCAAAACCCCTCCTATACCGCCCCTTTCCCTTCGGCGGCTGTTAAGTATTGTCATAGAAACTACCGTCTTCACCCGAATATATAGCGCCCGGTCATTATAGGTGTGTAAAGTAATCGGATCGCCTGTCACTGGAGATAAAAGATTGCGATGAGAAAAAAATCATAATTAGCTGGGGATAAAGGAACATGTACAGCCATCTGATCTCCATCGCCATCTGATCTCCATCGAAGTCTGTCACAACTTTCAGCCCAGATGGCGATAATTACCGGGCGTTCTATTCGGGTGAACACGGTAGGTCAAAGTGGAGGGACAAGAAGTGGTCCGTGCGGTTTCGCTGCTGGACGCAACACGCAGGCGCAGTCTCACGCAGCACTTGGAACCTTTCAATGTTGTCGCTCAAAATAAGTGAAAACCTAACCAACTAGCGTAGTAGCTCTCAGTTGGTACACACGCATGACCTGGGGCTAGGTCCCACTTGCAGGAATTAAGAGATACTGACCGTAGATAGCAAAGATCAACGGCCGAAATCTCCTAATCCGTGCAAGTGGAACCTTGCCCCTGTTGAAACGCAGACCCGAGTTCGAATTCCAATGGTCCTGGAATGAAATGAGTGAAAACAACTCGGGTTTCAATTTGCCCGGGGCGGGTCCGTTCAAAGATGATATCTCAAGGCCAGTTCCCATTTGAAAGAAGAAGCGAGTGAAATCCTAGCCTCATGCAGTGTGAATGCATCTTTTGCATTCACAGCGTAGTCATCCGTAGCCCTGCGTAAACCCGTTCGGGCATTTAACTTCGACGCACCTGGCCGCAATTTCGGTGTGTTTTGAACAGAAATCGGCAGGGCCCTGGGGCTAGGTCCCACTTACACGAATTAAGCGATATTGACCGTCGATAGCAAAGATCAACGGCCAGAATCTCTTAATCCGTGCAAGTGGGGCTTTGCCCCTGGCTCCCGCCAGTAGGACCTGACGATTCTGGTTCAGAAAACAGCGAAATTGCGGTCAGGTGCGTCAGAGTCAAATGCCCAAAGCCAAAGGAGTATTACTGTAATTTAGAGATCGCGTAGCTGTTGTCATCATGCATATTTATTCCTTTTTTAAATCATTTTTTTGTTAATGCATGCATATTCCTCCTTAGTCGTACGTATACCGGCACATAGTCGTCACGGATACGTAATCACACGTAGCCTGCATGCGTAATTGCACATAATCATAGATAGAGAGTAATCAAGCAGTTTTTTTTTTTTTTGCTTTTGCGCTCTGATATTCATGTGACGATATAGAGGTGACGAACAGGTGGGGCTTTTCTTCCTTCTTTTTCTTTTTCTTGTTTTGTCTTTTTCCGCCTTTGCGCTCTGATTTCCAGTTTGACAATATATATAGGCAAACGGACTTACGTAGTGGTGGCTCGATACTTTCAAGCAGCACGAAAAGAAGAACAGGAATGGAGAGAAGAAAAAGAAGAAACGCTGCTGATAATTAATTTAGACACGGAAAGGAAGCGAAGTGGATGCTGGATCTTTATCAAGCATGCCTGTGGCATGGTGGTAGGTGTAGCCTGAGCACACAAGGAGTGCTGTGATGTCGTGTATTACGAACAGTTCAACCGAGCTCCTTGTGTCGCCTTTGCTGAGAGGAGGAAGAGAAACCGGTATCTGTCTTCCCTCGTCTGGGGTCATCATCGTTTCTTTCTCCAAATGCGCAATTTCTGAGGAGGTATGCCTTTGTGCATCACCACACCAAGCAAGCCTTCTAATACACGCGTTCCAAATTCCTCCTCGTGTGTGTGTGTGTGTGTGTGTGTGTGTGTGTGTGTGTGTGTGTGTGTGTGTGTTAAAGATCCCCAGGTTCTCGCCTTATTCCAAACACAAATCATCACAAACCATCTATCAGACAAAAAAGGTATAGATAGGCAATATATGAGAAGATGCGAGGTTGCCCAGGTTTGTGTGGTTGAGCGGCAAGTGCCCACACACCGAGCGGGAGACTTGCACAAATATATTGTACTCTGTGAAGGGTTCAAGGGCATAAGGCAAATCACATGCACTAATACTATTCATCTCAAAGGACTCACTCATTTCACTGTCATCCCCATTGCTCCATGGCTAGACAACCTCACTTTCACTTTGTTGTCTGGCCCCTGGAGCGTATAGACCCCAACACAAGACTTAGTTGCACCAGAACACAAAAGGCTCCACTAACAAGAAAGTGTCGACCACGCTGCATCTGTGTGTGTGTGTGTGTCACACACACACACACACACACACACACACACACACACACACACACACACACACACACAGAGAGAGAGAGAGAGAGAGAGAGAGAGAGAGAGAGTATTTTTCTGCGTATGGATTGCATCTTTCAGTAGGGGCCAGATTCGGGGGGAGAGGAGGGGAGGCAGAGCGAGACAGGTACTCTTTGCCATGCATAAATCAGTCAACGAGTAACCCTGTGCGTCAATATGGATAGGGCCTGTTATAGAGGCCAGGAATCAGGAATGCAGCGAATCTATTATACCCTGTTACGGACAGACACTGTGCTGTAGGGAACAGAAGCAACGAGTTTGTGCAATGCAGCTATGGTACCAGCACGGTTTGCACCTTAACCTCTCAAAGCAGCTTGCTGTGTTTATAGCAGGCTTTGCAGCATGTACAGCTGCGGAGTGGTTCAGATAAGCCATGCTGTGCTGTCAGATATCAATCGACTTGTATTCGATCAGTCAGTATGAATCAGTGACAGTGTTACATCGCCATGCGTCTAAAGCAGGGGGCCAATGAACCAGTCATGCAGAAGCAATGATGCGATGCAGTCCAACAGACAAGTCGAACAAGTATCTTACGTACTGGCCAGTAAAGCTGATCAGCAATCTGTACTTCTGTGATGGCTTCCCAAATTGCCTGTGGCAAGCGCAGAAGACAAGATTGTGGGACATGTGTGGCATGCACGGGCGGCCACCACACGGGCCCTGAGGCACCCAGCCGTAGACTCTCTTTGGCCCTCAGGCTTTGTGACCCTCATTTTGGGCTACCTTAGATCTGTGGTCATTTCAGACTTTGTGACCCTTATTTTGGGCTACCTTAGAGCTGTGGTCATTTCAGGCTTTGTGACCCTCATTTTGGGCTACCTTAGAGCTGTGGTCATTTTCTGGGCCTCGCTTCCGTTTCTTTCAAGTAGTGCGTGTTATTTTTTGTCTGTCTTGTTATTTCTCGAGCTCTGCTTCCTGGTTTGGTCTGGTCTGGTCTGGTCTGGGACAGTGTAGTTTCGGATTTCGCACGTCCAAAACAGGCACAAGTGCCTCTTCCGTCCAGTGGAGGTTGGTTCACATGTTTTTGGCCGCTTTGAGGCCCTGAAGACTGTTGTGCGTATTGGGCTGGACCTCTGATTTGTCGATCAAAGGTCGAGCCCTTGTCTGTGGTGGGCCAGTGCCTGCTGCATCAGCAGGCAGGACTGGATGTTCGGCAGAAACCGAGGCAGTCCAGCGCTAATTAGCTGCCCAGCGCCAGACCAGAGGGAGGCATTCAGTTTGCCACAAGCTCGCTGGAGAGCAGCGCTGAGTTTGAGCCAGGGATTAGCGCACTAGTTTTAGTGCTACCTTCTTCCGCCGAATACAACGCACGGTCATTATAGCTGTATGTAGACTGAAACATACCCCAAGTACAGCAGCTATAATGACCTGTATGTAGACTGAAACATACCCCAAAGTACAGCAGCTATAATGACCGTGCGTTGTGTTCGGGGGAAGAAGGTAGTGGCTAGAGGAGCTAGGGGGAGAAGGGACTGGTGAGAGTGAAGGTCGACAGCGGCCTTGGACTTGCTGAGGAGCCATAGCTTGGGGACTGTACACCGGCCATTGCTGGGCTTCACTCTGCAATCTGCTGCGGTGATTTCTTTGTTCCGCGCCATGCCGGTTTATTGATAGAGGCATGCCTCATGTGGCACACACTAGCCAGTATAATGAGTCTCAGTGCACCATGCATCTAATGATTAAGCAATGCAGTTTCTGTTTCCACATATATTGCACGTGCTTTCAAAGTTGTATTAGTGGACTGGTTTCAGTGCTCTGTGTTGAATTCATCTGACAATTTTGCAATGTTATGTGTTGCCTGTTTCGAAACAATTTTCTTATTGTAACCTGTATGTATGCCTTTCTTACGGTTGATGCGTTGATGATCACAGATTGGGATGAGCAAGAGGGAGAGAAAGAGGCTGTGGCTCAGTGGGAGGATGACTGGGACGATGATGATGTGAATGATGATTTTGCGCAGCAGCTCAGAGCAGAACTGGACAGGGTGGCGGAATCGTAGTGCAGATGGATGATGGCGTGCTTTGGTGGCATGTGATGAGGGGATGGAAGACCAACGCAGTTGGCACGCCTTTGAGTGACTGGCGTCCAAGAATGTGCCAGAAAGCACAGGGCATCGCCATCTGACACAATGGCAAGGAATTATGTGTGTATAATCCATCATCATCACATGGCCACGCTCAGGGCATTTTGCCTGATGAGTAGATGAGAAATATGTTCCCTCTGCCTCTCTCTCTCTGGTTGACTATGCAATGATCTATTGCCCACGGGTTAAACCAGTTTTGGTCTGAGCTCCCCAATGGACAGAGTAGGTTCATCAACGTATCATCACATGCATATTTTTGCCCCCACATGCATGAGCACGTGCATGGACACACACACCCGTTGGCAGGGGTTGTATATTCTGTTACACACAGACACAGAGGTATGTACACACATACACACACACAGAGAGAGAGAGAGAGAGAGAGATAGAGAGAGAGAGAGGATCCGCCAAACACTGACTAGTGCTGAAATCGATAGCGAGGGAAATTGGTGGCAAATGGAGACCTCTGCTGGCTGGTTCCTTGAGAGCGACCACGCTGTATCAAATTTGCCTCTGAACAGCTGTGATATGAGAACTGAGACTAATACTCTAATTAGAGCAGCTGCGAATGTTGTAGTTGATGTAGTAACGATAAAGCACACAGTCTGAGATACAAATAGACATGGAAGAGAGATCTGCATGACAATGAAACAGGCAAGGGCAAAGATGGGGGAAGGAAAAGGGAAGGGGGAGGGGGAGAGAGAGAGAGAGAGAGAGAGAGAGAGAGAGAGAGAGAAGGGGGGGGGGGGGGGGACTGGAAATGCGCTCTTTTGTCGTCTTTGGAGTTGTTTTGGGCTGCGTCTTGTATGTCCAGGTTTGTTTGCTGGTCTGTCTGCCTTTCTCTGTCAAGCTGTGTGTGCATCTCGGTCTCTGTATGAAATGAATGCTCTGAAGCAAATCTTCTCTTCCTCCCGATTGTCATCGTGCAACTTTCTTTTTAAACCACCAGTACATCTGGAAAAGCAGGTTGAGCCTCTCCTAAAAATGCGGAGACCATGGACCTCGATAAAATCCATTGGCGGTTCATGGCCTCCTATTTTTCAGGAGAGGCTCAATTTCCTTTTTCAGATGTACTGGCGGTTTAAGATCTTTCCCAGGTAGAGAACATCGGATGCATACAACGATCACAATGAGCAGTGCTAGCAGAACACTAAAACGGACCACATCCTTAGATATAGGGTGGGGAAGGATAAAAGGCTGTGCAAAGATAACATCGACTTGGAATGGCCATAATAGCATCACTAACAGTTGCAGAAACAACGGCAGTATAACCGCTAAAAGGCTGTGCAAAGATAACATCGACTTGGAATGGCCATAATAGCATCACTAACAGTTGCAGAAACAATGGCAGTATAACTGCTCCCTCCCTCCTCCTCCCTCCATCCTGTCAAATGGGAAATTGATCGGGCACCCCTGCGTCCTTGTATGTGCACCAGTCATTCGAGCAACACATGTGGATATGACTGGCTGGCCTATTCGCAGCCCTAAGGCTGCAGTATAGTGGGTTGCTGCATATGTGTCAAGGTGGCCCAATTTTTTGTATAGCAGGGGTGGAAGATTTGCGGTGACTGGTCCTTCACATTTTTGCAGAGGATTGATATCCATTTTGTTGTCCTACCGGTACCTTCGAGATTCGAAGGACCTGTCCTATCTTGTGACTGGAGGCCCAAATAGGGGCCCAAACTCTTGAAGGGCCAAAAATTTTAGGGCATTCGATCTTCAAGATCTGTCGGTGGCCAATAGGCTTGGCCACAGGCATTCAGCGGTGTGTTGCAGAATGTTGAGTGTGCCTACGTGGGCAATTGGTTGTGATCATGATAATTGTTCAAAAAATTTGGAAAAACTCAGGAACATCCTATCCCTTAAACCACCAGTACTTCCTAAAGTCGTGCCCGGTAATGCGCCACAATTTTAGGAAATGTACGGGCCACTGCAGGAGGGTCCAAATTCATCGAAGTAGAAATGTTTCTACTCTATTTTTTCTCTGCGGCTGATAGCTGGGCCAAGTACTGGTGGCTTAAGCAGCATTGGCCATGGGGGAAAGGTCCATGACGCACTGCCCGCCGGATTTGGGTTGGTGAGGGGCGGCGGATGAAGGTTTGAGGGTGGGGAAGTGTGCCAAGGGGTGTGCGTACCGAAATGTGCCCAAATTCATCCAACTAGAAATGTTTCTACTCTATTTTTTCTCTGCGGCCGATAGCTGGGCCAAGTACTGGTGGCTTAAGCAGCATTGGCCGCGGGGGGAAGGTCCATGATGCGCTGCGCGCTGGAGTTGGGTTGTTGAGGGGTGGCGGATGAAGGTTTGAGGGTGGGGAAGTGTGCCAAGGGGTGTGCGTACTGAAATGTTAACAGTCCGCCATTAAACGAGAGTACGTGCCCCGGGGGTGGGGCACACGGTTGGTGTTGATGCGAACAAACATCTTGGAGGCGAGCCATCCGATATGCAGGCGTTTGTGTTTTTTTGTTTTCCGCGGCTGAGAACTGAAAAGATGGGGCTGCTGGTTTGGTGAACCTCAGTGCGTTAGTAGGGTATGAACAGAGTGTAAAGTGCCTTGAAGGCTAAGTAGCAAATCCGGATATCATGCAGACCAATTTTATCCGGAATTTTCAAACCGGACGAAATTTCCGGATGAATTCCGAATATGGAAAATCCGGCCCTGCGCATCTTTTTTTTCTACCGAAAAAAAGAAAAAAAAAAATCTGGAAAAAAATTATGTTGTTCATATCAATGATTTGAACAACTTTTGGCACAAGGCCATCTTTGATTACTCAACAGATATGGAGATAAAAAAATAAAACAGAACAAGAAAATAATATTTAGATAAAAAATTATAGAATGAATTAACTTCAATTGCATGGGTCCTGGAGACCATCTCACGCAGACGTGTACATATCATGCATCATCTTCACACGCAGCGATCAATAGTATCAACCATAGACAAAGGTAGAGGAAAAGGGGACCGAGTTTCACTGCTTATATTATCAGAATTATGAATACAAAGTGTTTCAAAGTTCCCCTGAGTCCAGYGCTCATCAGCGCAACACCAGTCTCTTATCAACTCATCAATATGACTTTCCRTGAATCAGCGCTACTCCTGCAGATAACCTCCAGGTCATCAATGTGGTCACCACTCATCAGCACCACCTTTGCAGCCCACATTCWACTCAGGTAAGTATCTTCCATAGCCGAATCTTGAATGAACACTCTCAACCTCAATCCCTTCCTCCTACGATGCATACACACCCTTCATTCATGAGGATCTACTCTGAATACTACTCATAGCTACATACTAACCCACTACTACTAATGCTAACTTGCTGGGCAGCTATGGCTGCATCACTTCCAACATGCAAACCTCTTCCCTCACTCAGCGCATCTGCTTCCTCCAGCGCTGCTCCCACTGACTTAACGCACAAGTGCTCCAGCACTTCCACGCTGATACAGCCAGTGGAGATCTGGCGAGGAATGAGGCTGGATGCCTCCTTTATACTCCTCGCTGGGTCTGCATTGGCTCAATTCAGCCTCTTTCCTTGTCCCAGACCCTGCATTGCATGTGTCCCAGTRGAGTCCCAATGAAATTCAACTGCTGCTGAGGCCTCCCGGCCTGAATTTGGACTTGAAAGTCTGGATCTGGACTGACCCCTGGACTTAGACCAGAACTGGGACTGTGCCTATTGACTTTACTTTCGGACAGGCACAACTCTCAGCGAACAGACATTTACTGCTTGAACAGACACTTACTTTGCACCAACAGGTACACTGCCTGTACGTACAGACACACCCTTGCCCGAACAGACATGACATACACATCTCCTGGTGAACAGGTAAGTCTTTTGACAATGCCCTTTGCCTTAGCTTTAGATATGCCTGTTGATAGAGAGCTTGACCTTTGACCTGCTTTCACGTTTCTGAGCTCTGGCGAGATACCTTTTCACAATGCTTTATTTTTTTCAAGGCCCGTGCTGCTTTATTTTACAAGGCCTGAGGCCTATATCGGGTAAAGGCCCTTTTACAATTAAGCATCCCCCCTCTAAACCCCTTTATTCCCTATCTTATCCCCTTTGAGCCCTTTCAGGCCCTATCAAGCTTTTCGTGAAATAGGAACGTATTTCTATTGTATTTTGCATGCGCAATGTCACTTTTTTTTTTTTTTTTTTTTAGGCCATTATTTAATTATCCGGATTCCCGGATGATCCTACCCCCGATCATCCGGCCAGATAATCCGACCAGATTATCCGGCCAGATTACCCATGCTACCTAGCGTGAAGGGGTGTCTTAAATCATGCCTTGGGGGTTGGCCTACTGAAAGCAGTGGGGCAGGGTGCGAAATTCCGAGTACTTGAATGTGGTGATCTTCAGTAATTCTAGATCTCGCGAGTAAAGCGGAGATGTTGGTCAGGTTCCTCAGCATCAGGGGAAAAAATTAAACATGAAGAAAAATGGTTTGCCCGCGAAAAGAATATTCGCACTGAACCGAGTGCATATTTCAACCACTGCCGGCATGCTATGGTAGGAGTCGTTTTTTCAGGTTGGGGCAGTCCTGGGAGATGGCTATTCTCGGTTTGACAAAAGTGGCTCAGAGGGTTGCCGTGCCTATGTCAATATGGACCATTTTTTGCGGCGGACAATCATTTGAAAAGGGGGCATATCACGGTCGGATTTTTATGGTGACCGGTCCTTCGGAACTCTGCGGAGGGTTTAACTATTTGGATGCCCTACTGGTGTTCGTGGACAAGGTAGGGACTGGTCCTACCTTGTGACTGGAGACCTGAAAAAGGACCTAGAGTCTTGAATGGGTGAAATTTTGTTGGCCATTCCGATGATGGCTAATAGGCTTGGCCACAGGTGGAAGGCGGCTTGCTGCATAATGTTGAGTGTGCCTACTTTGACAGTTGTTTGTGGTCAGAATAATTGTTCAAAAGAAGTGGCCGAACTCAGGAACATACTTTTAGCGGCGCAGCTCAATTGGTTAGGCACGCAAGAGGTATTCAGGAGGTTGTGGGTTCTATCTCCATGGCCGCCTGCGGTATCCTTGGCGCCAACCAAAGTCAGCTGGATTCTCCCGGCTGGCTGGCATTAGTAGGGTCCCCATGGCCGCCTGCGGTACGCCTGGTGCCAACCAACATAAATAGTCAGATGGATCCTCCCAGTTGGTATTATTACGGCCGTCGGCCAACATGGGTGTGAGTGTGAGTGTTTTCTCAAATACAAGGAGTATTCTCTGTTACTATTTATGGAATATATAATATACAATATTAGATAATATGTACAATATACTAATATAGATAATATATACAATATAGAAAATATATAATATATGAGTGGGTTGCGTGTGTTTTGTGGGGGAGTGTTGGCTTTCGACACTGCTGCCACTTAATGTGGGTTGGGGAAGATAAAAAGGGAGGCGCAGTCACTGGCAAATGCTTGGTGCTCGGTCCTTGTGCCAACCAATGTAAATAGTCAGCTGGATCCTCCCGGCTGGTATTATTAGGGTCTGCAGCCAACATGGGTGTGAGTGTGAGTGGTTTACGCGTGTTGTGTGGGAGAGCGTTGGCTTTAAACACTGCGGCTACTCGATGTGGGTGGCGTAAGATGAAAAGGGAGGCGCAGTCACTGGCAAATGCTTGGTCCTTGTGTTAACCGGGGCCCCACCCCAACCCTAC